ACCGGCACGTGAAAGTATGAATTCTTGAGATCGAGTGTAGTAAATACTCTCGCGTCAACCAGTCTGTCCAATTGGTCATCAATCAGGGGCATCGGATATCTGTCGCGTTCAACTTTGAGATTTAGCTCACGATAATCAATGCACAATCGATAGGAACCGTCTTTCTTCTTCGCGAGCGTCACGGGGCTGGCATAATCACTGCTAGTCTGACGAATGATTCCCTGATCTTCCCATTCACGCACCTGCTCCTCGATACATCGCTTCTCCAAAGGTGCAAATCGCCTGGGACGATGAACCACTGGTGTGTCATCTTTCAACTTAATCACTGTCTTCACGCCGACATCTTGCGGCTCTCGTGGATTGTATGAGGAAATCATGGCTTTTATCTCCGTCCTGAATTGAGAGGGACAATCAATTTCATCTGGATCTGACTCAACTCTCAAAAGCCAATCAGCAGCGTCAGTCGGGGATTCCTCGACACAATCGACTTCATCATTAAAGCCCTCAACGTCATGATTATCAGCAGGTTTAATATTGGGTTTAATACTCACGATACCTCCACTAATGCTGTGCGTCACCGTCATCAGGAAGTCAGTTCCCAACAGCATCAATTTTCTCAGAGCTCTCTTCGAGGCGATGTGAAATACCCAATTGAACTCATTGCCGTCGATGGAGAAGTCAAGTCTGACTTTTCCCTTTGGCCTCTCCACATTTCCGCCAAAGCCGCGAAGTCCCCTGAGCGGCTGCTCAACCACGGCATCAGCAGGGCGGATCTCATTCCACAAATCCTCACGGATCACGCAAATATCACTGCCTGTATCGACGAGTGCTGACACAGACTTCTCGTTGATCATCACATTCACTTCGAAATTCATCTTGTCGTCCTCGTGAATCACATTTACTGTGGCATCCTTCTTCTTGGCGGATTTGGCATCGCCCTTCGTCTTCTTGTCGTCCTTCTTCGTGCATCCTGTCGACTTATGCCCAAATTCACCACAATTAAAGCACTTCTGCCCACGCTCCTTGTGGGGACAGGAATCACTCTTATGCCCCTTTTCGCCACAGTTAAAACACCTTGGGAGATTTTCCTCTTTGTTGGCACGCTCCTTTTTGCCCTCCTTACGATCAGTAGGCTTCGTCTTAGCCTTTTTCGCCTTCTCCTGCTGCCGCTCATACCTCTCTAGCTTCTCCTTCAGTTCTCGCAGCGTCAAAGACTCATAGAGATTCATTTTTTCCATCGGCTCACCTGGAATGCCATCGCAGATGTACTCGCAAATGGTGATTTCGTCAAAATCAGCCAACAAACCAATCCTCTGCATCTCATACACGTATTCCAGATAGCTTTCGTCCTTCTTCTTGGTTCGCTCCGCCAGCTGGCGATGCACATCAGTGGGCTTCACCTTCCTGCCGAACTCCTGGATCAACATTCGCTTGAGTCCGAGCCACGAAGAGACACACTTCTGGGCGAACAGGAATTTCCTCGCCGTACCGTCCATCAACTTTCGGCAAATGAGGATTTTTTGCTGTGGAGTCCATCCAGCCAACTCCGCAACGTCCTCAAATTCATCAAGCCACGTGTGAATACTCTGCGTCTTGCTGCCTGAAAACTTCTCCAGGCTGTCCTCGCCGTCCCTGCAACTCACAATCCTCACCTGAGTTGCATCAACTTGGACTTTGGGCTTCTTCGGAGTCGATGTCTTCAGATATTGCCACTTATTTGCCGTCACAAATTTCTCGTCGTCGTCGTCTTCAGCATCACTATTCGTATCGTCGTCAATTTCGTCGTCTTTGTCCGTGAACAAGTCAGCGAACTTCACAAAAGCTTGCTTCTTCTTGATGGCACCGAGTGATGATGACTTCGTCGTCTTTGGATTGGACTTCTTGGATTTGTCAACTTTGAGAGAACACCCGTCATTTGGTTTCACTCCTGCGTTGTTCCCATTCGTCTCGGGAAAACCCTCGAATTCCTCAGCCATGCTTGTCGAATCACCACCCCATGCACCGTCGTTGCGCTCCTGAACGTCATAAGAGCGTTTGTTGGCGTAATCCTTGCGAAGTTCGTCCTTCTTCGCGTTGGATTCCGCACCGTCTTTCGTCATTGCTGTTTTCACAGCCTCCGTCACGAGAATCTTCACCAGAGCCGACTTGTCGCCTGTCGGCGAGATGCCAAGTCGTGCACACTCTTTCTCCAGTCCCAATTCGGTGAAATTGGCCACCAAATCTTGGAACGTCGTCATCTCTCACTGATTGTCAACAATACACCTCCAATTGTCGACCAAATCACACTTAAAATCGTTTATTTCAATCACTTTTTAGGCTTTTGCCCATCGTCCATCTTCATTGTTTTGATTTTCACAACCACTGCGCGATCACTGCGCCACTCGCGTCGAACACTTGTACAGTTTTTTCGCGCACTCTTCGGCGTTCCGCCATACGCCCGCGACGCCTCTAGTGGTCGCTGGCCGCAGCCACTCCACTCTTGTGGTAGCGCCCCACAGAGACTCCGCCGGCGTAAATCGTCTTTTCCACTTAAATCGCACACTTCACAACTTCGCGATTATACTTCGCACTCGTTAAACTTCACTGAACTCTATTCTGGGTTGAGCCCCCATGTAAATTCTATGTGATCTTACCTTGCGCTCTATGGCGTCTGGCTTGTTCAAATTTTTGTGAACTACTGTTCGTGTGTCTCTCTTCACACCACCACATTCATACATTGTCTCTCATCCACACCACCACCTCTTCAACCCTCTACATGAATACATCGCAGGATATGAATATTAATTGAAACATGAATTCTACGTGGATGCTGAAAGATATTCACAGCTTTAGGATCTCTTCCAACTTGCAATGCAATAAAATTACACGTTATAAGTGGTAATAATCAAGGTGGCCCAGAATGTCCCTCTGCAGATCAGCTCTGTTGGAATCTACTCTGGATTCAGCAGGGAAGATATCCTTTTAAAAAAATATCTCCTCGATTCAATTGGAAATTAATGCTAAAAGAGGTTTCAAATAGTCGGAAGAATGCACAGCGCAGCTATTCAAATGCGTGATCACAATAATAAACAAGAAATATATTGTAAAAGAGGGAGATTATCAACAATGCGACTCCCTGCCGATGTGACAATCATCAAAAGTCGTGTAAGAGTCAAAAATGTGCGAACATGCAGAGATGCATTTTATTATTTATTATTATTGTAATGCCTGAGCGTCGATCTCGAGGAATATTCATCGACGGGGATCATTTTCGATCCCTTCGATGCCTTTTAATCTCCTCTTCTCCGCTCTAGATTCCTTCAACTTATTGTTTCGCGCCGCACAAAGTGATGGGAGAGGAAATCGAATTCCATCAAATGATATTACAAGGAGGTGCCATTGTTGTGAGGGAAAATTGTAAAGAAATTTGCTGCTGCGATGGTATTTATGGGTGGTCTCGCTTCTCTAATATAAATATTCACATATAATTCTTAACGGGGTGTTCAGCCTCGTCAGTCTAATTGCGATATTTACACATGAGAAAACCCGAAGGAGGAGATTCTATCAGTGAGTTGAAAATCCTACAATCTCGCGGAAAATCATCCACAGAAAATATGTATTTGAACGAACACTCAACACCAACACATCATATTATATATGGCACATTATGTGTATAAGAGCGACTGTATAAGAGTTTAATTATTCTGAGACATTCCTGCACAGCAGCCGAAATGCTCTGCATGATGTCCCAGCATCCGCCAGAGATTCTCCTCATTCGGGATACTGCCAGTGAATGCGGTGGAAGCCAGTAGTCGAACAGTAGGAGTGAGTCGAGAGCGATGTAGTCAGCATCCCTTTAGCACCGCCCATTAGGCTCCTCCCTTTGCACACAGTCTTCTATCTCAGAGTGTCCTTTCGATCCCTCCGTCTATCTCTGCGGAGACTCACACAGCAAATCTGCCCCGATTCATCTCACTGACACTGACGATTGCCTAGTGGTGGTGGTAGGGGCCCTGAATGCGGCTTCTTTTCTCTCCCGTTTGACAATTAAATCAAAACAATTTCAGTCTACCCTTAGCATCCGGCAGACAGACACTGTTTGCCCATCACTTGGCACGGAGAGTGAACATTTTCGCGTGAAAACTGCCCAGTGAATTTGCGCAAAAAATTCTCACTTCTGCACAGATTTAGTGACTCTCAAAATGGCTAAAATGTAGTTAATTTCTGACTGAAAGTGCGACTAAAAAAGTGACAGAGTTTCATGGTTGCGTGCAATTGATCCGGTTGTATACGATTATTAACAGCTCATATAAAATATCTGCGGCGAAATAAACAGCCTAAGAGTGATGCAGTGACGATTATTAAATCCATATTATTTAGTGCAAATGATCTAAACCAAATGATAGTTAATATTAGAAAATGTCAGGTAAATTAGTCCACAAAAATGTGCCAAATCCAATATTTTCCGTTGCAAAAATTGTCCCTCGGAATTGAAGAATGTGAAATAATATCCTTCACGAAATTTAACACTGCCAATTCCCTCTCTCTCTCGTGTTGATATATCTTTCATATTCAGGTGCGGTGTTACATATATTGTCTCCCGGAGAAACACGATTCGTCACACAATATAGACAAAACAAATCTGCAGATTGATTACCCAGAGTTTCTAAACTGTTTCAATGTCTCTGCAATTTGATATCTTTGATGACTATTTAAACATTTGTCTCCATCTTGTGGCAAAGGATGCCAAAGAATGATCAGAAAACTTGCTCATTAAGATAAATTCTAATCAACTCTGTATCATTTATCGAACATATGTGTGTTTGTGTAATTCAAGGTGGAGAGAAAAGTTGCAGAAGTGTCTCATTGAAATGCATTTTTATTTTCTATTGAATAGTCAACAAAATTGCTTAAGATATCTCTCCAGCAGCATCTGTTCACCTGTTCAAACAGCTTATTCCAAGACAATTGCTGTGCAATTCGCATTCTCAAACACTCCTATTCACTCTATCTTTGCACAGGTAGCAGTGGTGACGAGCTTGAGAGTGGTCGAGGACTCGCGGCGAGCCTTGACGTTCCACCAGGACTGCAAGTGATTCCATTGAGTCCGTCTGAGGAGTCCAAGGAGCGCCTGAAGGTGAGCCGAATCCATCCAATAACACGCAAGAACTTGCAATAAAATGCTACATTTATTAGGTGAGATCGAGAGATCAACTGTTCGCTGAAATGGCCAAACATCACAGTCCACCGCAGGAGATTGAGTTGCGAAGTGGTTCGGTGTACGCCAAGAATCTGATACATCGCAATACGCAGTACGGACCTTACGTGGGAAGATGGACAAACGAGCCATCGGACAAGAGATTCGCCTGGGAGGTAAGTCAATCTGTGAACTCACTAACCTTTCATCACCTAAAAGAATGGCCCAAAACCAATTTAGCCACAAACAATATGTGGCTATTTGCTTATTGTGGCACAAATCGATGGCAAGAAGAATGGACGGATGGAGAGACAAGAGAAAATGCTGATACGGTGGTCCGTGTGGAAAGTCTAACAATGTCAATTTTCTCTATTCGATGACGAGAAAACAATTGACTTGAAGTGAATGTGGGAGATTTTGCCATGGCGGATCCTGGAAAATTCGAGAGCAAATTGCTTGGGCACTTTCAATCAGTCGTCATTTGGCAGTTTGTTGTGCAAACGCCATAATACAGCTAAGCACACAATTGGGATCCGTGGTCTCGTCTTGTGGGCCGCGATATTCAATGCAAAATGATGCCAAACAGAGGGTGCAAGAGAGAGAGTTTAGGGGATGAAAGCTACATTTGCCAGCACCATTCGGATTACCGGAAATATCTGGGAAAAGGCCACCCAGTGGAAATGATGATGTGGTTACAATTTTCCTCATCACCTATTTTCCTCCCAAATGATGCGAGGGGTGCGATTTTCCGAGTGCGCTGTTTGATGTTCAGCTTATACATTTGCAATTCGACTTTGTCACCACTAAATCAACAGACTGTCGTCATTATATTTTTTCGCTCACTCACAAAAGACTCACTCGCTTGTAAAGAGATTTGTGATCTTTTTTATGTGTCATTTCTGGGCAAATGAGCAGAATTGAGCCAAATTAGTGAAGAGGGACATGAAAGTGACTAAAAAGTGTTTCAACTGTTTTAGATGATTTGAAATTATTTGTGCAGGTGATTGAGAATGTAAAAATAACTCAATTGATCATATAGAAGTTAACTTTAAAAGAAAAATCAGGGATTTATAACAATAGAACAATTAAAACTTGCAGAAAACCATCAGAAGTTGTTTTGATATTATTCTAAGATCATTAAACTCATCCTAAATACAAATTTCAGCTCAGAAACTCATGAAATCTATTCTTTGACTGATAGTGATAAAACTAATACAATTTGTAGTTGTATTCGTTCAGTCTTAAATGGAATTTGTACTGTATTGAACTTGGAATTGAAAGAGGAAGATGAGTCCAAAGCCCAAAACCGAACATATAAACGAAGATGATAAATGAATTTATCATGAAAGGTGTGAAGATAGAAAATGTTCGGGGTGTCAAAACCGGCGAATCTCTATTGTTGGCTGTCCTTTCGGGACAGGTCAAAGTAGCAGAAGATAGCTGGAAGAAAATTGCCATAAGTATCTCTTCTCATCAGAGACTTCCATTTGCCCATGTCTCATCCACTCTTTCTCCGCTTGTGTGACATTCTACTGAATGTCTTTTGTGGTGTCAATCAAAAATTCATAGAGAAAACATCGTATTTACACCTGGTCATCCAGCTCCTGATGTTTCTCCGTGAAACAGAGAGAGCAGCAATGGCGAGAGTGAGAGGAGATACATAAATATTACCTGCAATAGATATGTGTGTTCAAAACATACAAATAAATTGAGATGTAACATGAAGAAAGTCGCTTAAGAGTTTCCTCTCCGCATGCTTTTCGGGAGAGGCCGACAAGGAAACTCCTGAGGATGGCAGGGTGCGAGTCATGAGGGTAATTTGTACTTATCCAATTTGGGTTTTGGCTTAAGTCTCATTTGTGGAAGTTGCTACTTCATCGCTTCTTTTTTGCGCCTTTTCCTCCCCTTCCTTCCGAAGGGTTGAGAGAAGAGGAAGAGATTCTGATTGACATTGCGTGTGAAAATTAATCAATTTTTAGAGGTTTCATGGTGAAATTTGTGGGGTGTGAGGAGAGATTGAAAGGAGTCTATTGGAAAGGATTAATTATTTGAGTGAAAGTATCGTGTACAAAGGAGGGATAAATTTTGATATCTCTCTCTTGTCATTCCCTGCAATCTCTTCCTCTCACCTTAAGGTGATCTTCCAAGAGATTTTGTGAGCTTTCGACTGAATATCTTCCCTTATTTCCGAGCAATGGTTGAAAAATTAAAAAGTGAAATCCCCGAGAGCGAGCAGACCGCCAGAAAAGACCATTGTCACAGAGAAAGAGAGAAGATTAGGAGATGAAGATTGAATCTTTTACCTGAAATGTGATGACAGAAATTCAATTTCGATATTTTTTCTCCATCTAATATGATCGGCATCCTCTTGTGCAGCTTCACTATGCCATCACTGGACGTTACAAATATGTTTTTATCTCATTGTCACGCACTTTTTGTCTGGGGCATTTATGAAGAGGGAATCGCAAGAGATTCATAATTTCATTTATTGTTACTACTGTCATGTCACTCATTTCCCCAGTGAATCCCATCCTCTTCTCTCGCCCTGGACCTTATCTCAAACAGGAAAAGATCTTGTCTCTTTGGCATGTCCATGAATCCACTTCTCACTCAATTGCATTCACCTCTCCGAGTTGTTGTCTTTGTTATGAAAATTGACACGTTTGTTATCCTTAATGGAATGTGGGACACAGGACAAAAGATGATACTGGTTCAGTTTTTTTTTTCTTTTCACCCAGAGCTTAACTTTGACACGTCTTCTGGGTTCAGGACGCGACTAAATCCGAGGAATTCCTAGCCTATCATTTCATTTTAATTTCCATATCAAGCAGAAAGAAATTTGTGTTATAATTTTTTCGTGCCAATCAACTGTCAATTATTAAGTCATCTCTTGATTCACAAATTCGACTTTCAATACAGCATTCGCGGCAAGACTAAACAATAAAATCAATCCCGTAAAAATACTTCCTCCATCCAACCTTCCTGTCTCTGTGAGAGTAATTGAAGTGAAGCACACAAAAAAAAACATTGAATATTCAATTTGAAATTTGAGAATAGTCGAAAATTTGTGTGAACTTTCTAGGGTGGACTTTGTGCATTAATCTCTGTGGAGTGGAAATCAATTGAATTTCCAATTAGGGCTGCTTTTCGGCCGCCTTTCTCTGCGCCAAAGACATTTCAAAAGCCAGCTGACCATGCGTGATGTCTTTGGGAATCCATTGACAACTTCTTCCGTTTCTGTTCTTCAGGGTGAAATGCATATTTTCGCTGTAACTCAATACTCTGTGGTCAGTCTTGAGACCTTCGCAATTGCTTATTCATGGCATTTCCGAAGGGGTGAACAATCTCACGGAAAATCCTTCGGAATCCTCCTCTAATTGAATTTTAAATGGCGGAAAAGTCAAATGGATTGTGAATTATGTATGAAGATGGTGGAATATCTACCCTTTGGGCTTTTGTATAAATTAATTCGATACTCATCAAATCAGTGAAATAGAAAAACCGACTTTAGAGGCCCTGAAAAGGTCACAATTGCGTATGCAAGAGCATAAATGAGTGAGCATGCAAAAGTACATCAGCAATTTAATGCATTTACAGGATCACAACCCTCTAAAGTGCCCCTTTTTTCCAACTTTGCACAAAGGAAATCGGGTTGGAATTAGTGGAGAGCCTTTTCCCGAGTCATCAAACCACGAGAAGATGTTTCCTCATTAAATTCTCTGTATTCTAGAAAATCACAACTTTGCATGGCAGAATCGCGGTGAAGAATTAATTTATTGTCCCTTGTCAGTGTCTTTCTGGAGCGCCAGAGACACATTCGCATTTGCATGTGAATATGAGGAATATGCGACATTTATCATCGCCATACGGCTCGTCCATGATGGTCACTTTGTAAATGATTTCATTTGTTGTCGCACGAACATTTGTTGGATAATTTTAGCAGATAATTGATTTTCATTTGTCAACCACACCCTCGTTCGCCGCAAAGTCCCTCGAGCTTCAACCCCGTGAACACGCACTGCAAATAAGCTGCATTGCAATTTCTCGCCTCGAATTTGATATAATATTTGTACGTTGGAAGTGGCGTAATTAAAAACCACTAGACCATCTCGTTTTTAAATATTTTATAAGCGCTTTTCACATGAAAACGCGAGGGTTGTGATGAATGTTTTCAGGAATTTTTTTCTATCAAATGCAAATTGGAGTTACTAAATGTATAATTTAGTGATCTTGGACGGCTAATCTGTATGGCATTGCAGAATACTTTAGCCAAAGCGCAAGAGGGAAAATTATTCATGCGTTAATAACAAGAGTGAATGGCAAAAGAGAATTCGAAATGAACTTATTGGGCTCAGAGTGTGATAATTTCTTGTGCTTCTTTGGTGAAGCAAATTGCCCATGAAGGTGAATTCTTCACTAATCTCATATTGAAGCGTTTCTCTCTCTCACTTGATCCTCCCTTTCTCAGGAGGATGCTAAAATTAGGACATACAGACGATTTCCAATTGACAATGGGGAACTTCTTAAGTCTGTTCTGGTGTGTTGAACACGTTTGAGATCACTTTGAAATCTTCTTCATCTTCAGGTGGCCCAAAGAGGAGAGAAGTGTTTGTGTGCGATGGTGAAGAATGGAATTGAGGTGGAAGTGAGGATCGGCAAAAAATGCACGGGACGAAAGGAGCGGAGGAGAAATTTATAGAAAGATTTCTCAAGCAACACCTCTGAAGAATAGGATTTTGCGTTGATGCCCCAGACAAAAGGCCGATGGCTACGTGTCACCACAAAAGACTTATTTAATTTCCATGTGAGAATTGATGCATTGAAGGAGACACACAATAAAAGATGTGCGCCCTTCGGTCTCTCAACAGGTAGAAGACAGAATGCCACAATTACTCTGTCGCTAGATGAACCTTCTTGGCCCACCAAGGCAAATTATCAATTGTCGGGAGGATTTTTAGCGGAATTCCCTTCCGTTTCTGCAAAGTCTGCAGCAGAGTTATGACAATCGATAAGGCGAATGGAACGATTTGTCTGGATTTTACACAACGTTAGCTTCATCCCTCATTTGCTGCACAACTCAGTGGAAGCGGAAAATATGAAATTGCCGACAGATTCTGAAATATCACCCACAATCCCGTCCTCGGGCTCCATCCCTGCTCACATTGCCTAATGGAATGTGAAAGCAGAGACAGAGATCGCGAAGGAAACCATCTGTTCCTAATGATGCATCCTTTTTCTCAAGAACGCCAAATACCAAATCTGAGTAACGGGCAAAATAATCCTCAATTCCTAAAGATCATGTATCAAAATAACTCTCTCTCTCTCTTCGCGTCCATCAGCCAAGAAAGATAGTTTAGATACGCATAAAGTGGTCAAACTTGTAAATCTGAATATAATGAAGACAGTTATTTTGAATGTTTCGCTCCCCAGGAAAACAATTTAAATTGAACAATTGCAAACGAGGAAGGAGAAGACATGAGAATAATTAATTACAGTGATTTCCATTGTTGTACATTTTCTAATTGTTCCACCACTTGGAGATAATCTTATGGTTGCCCTCAGAACTCTCGCATTTCCATGCGAAACACCCCTCAGCGCCACAATGGTGAGACAGAGTGCAGAACAAAAGGGTGGCATTCACCATTTTCATCTTGTCTCCTCCATTATGGAGTTTTCTCCACCATTTTCTTCCCTCACGACCGGAAATCTGGGGGTGGCTTTGTAGAATCTGAGAGTCACATCTCGCTAACGACGGTTATTTCCCATCTCAACACGGGATTTTGGCATGTTTTGCAGAACATTTGAGCCATGTTACAAGCTAATGCAGTGTCAGAGGGTGGATTCGCATGTGATGCTCAATCGCATAACATTGCCTATCATGCCCAAAACACCTCTTCATTGCAACTGAGCTCACACACTCGCATTCGGGGTTGAAGGGTCAAGAAGTGTGCGACTGACTAAAGCATTTCATTTTATGATTTATCGCTTGATTATTATATTGCAGATGTTTCTTCGGGGTAAATTGCCGCAATTGAATTTTTCCTCCGTGGAGTGATATGATGTGGAAATGGAGTTGGGGTGGAAGACATAATTCGGAAATCATGTTGCTATCATTGATTCAGGATTTATACGGCGGGGTGGCTTTTACACTTTCCACCCTCTTATGCTATTTACTGGCAAAACACCCCTCCTGGCATCTTGCCATTCTCAGGATGAATGAGATAAGAATTACGTGATGTTGAGTGGTGGTTTCTGATGCGGAAATTTCCACACATTCTCCGCATGAGGCTGAAGGATTCCATCACGCCGCAATGATTAAGAAGTGAAAGAACCACAAAGAGGGTTTCATGATTAATTAACTTGAAATTTGTCTTCAAATTACTTTTGCTGTTTATTGTCAAAATACAACATTTTTCACTATCCATATTTCACCCGTGGAAATCATTTTGCGCGCGACGCAGTGGCAAAAAGTCGAAGGAACAATAGTAATGGATTGATGTCTCACTTAATTACAATTTCTGCCTTCCCCTCCATGTCTAACAGAGACTGTGCAAATAATTTAAGCAGTTCTTGTCATTCTTAAGGACTGACACAGGGCAGCAGACGCTAGAACACATAAATTACCATGAAATATCAATAAAAATTCAATTAGATAGGCAAACGGTGAACAAGGGTCACAATATGAAATAATTGTCCTATTTGGAAGCACTATGCCTCTTTCTTGCTCGTCTTCCAGTTTGCCCGTGAGAACAAGTATCATAAATTATTTCCCATATTATTTATACACTTTGGCTGAACAATTGATGGGTGAGTTGAGTTGGACAACACAGCAATTGTGGTAAATATTCGCCCCCGCGCGATGAGTTCAAAGAGGGTTGCTTCACCTCAGGAACACCCTCGTCCAATTTACCCACCCTCTTCGGCAAAGTGTGAATATTTTTAACAAAATCACAATACACCCTTAACTTTCACCGCAAATTACGTGCTAGTTTTATTGCCACAAACTCTATTTCTGGGTTAATTAAGAGACTTTTTTTTTATCATCCACAAGCATAGTATATAATATTGAAATTCTCAGATCATGACAAAAATGGCAGTGTGCCAAAGTTTTATAAATATTCTCTTAAGATTTTGATAATTACACTAGGCAACAAAAATGACACTTTTTTCTGCCCTTTTTTTGAGGTGTGGATTTTCTGATTCCTTGAGTCATCAGCTTTTCAACGGTACCTTCCTTTTTTCCCTAGACCCTCAAGTTTTCCTTTTAGAGCCTATTTTCCATTTTCCCCTATTTTCACCCACTTTGCCGCACTTATGTGCTCATATCTCGCCCAATTTTCCACGGATTTTCCTCAAATTAGGCTCAAATGATAGCTATTGAAATTACCTACTACTTTGTAAAACATTGTGAGTGTTTTAGATCACTCCTTGTTGGTCAAAAATGATCTTTTGTGAACCACTAGGTAAAAAATTCACCGGGTTTTTTACCACTTTTTTCTAAATATCTCCGAAACGAAGAAACTTTTATGTTGGATTATTTTTCCTATGTGTAGAGCACTTCAGGGGATGCATTTCCTCCATACATGCCGAAGTGATATTTCTTCTCTATCTGCCGGAAAAACGAGGTTTTCCCTCGACAAATTTTGCTTTTTTATGCTACGCGCACCCGCTAAAAAATTGAAAGAAGGTACATTTTGCTGTTTACGCACTCATTTAGATAATGATAATGCTTAGATGTTAAAATAAAAGAGAAAAAAAGCCAATATCTCGACTTTTTAGCTATTTTAGGTATTTTTTTGGTCTTAATGACAACTACTCCATAAAAAACACAAAAAATTCACTTAAAATAGCTAAAAAGTCGAGATATTGGCCTTTTTTCTCTTTTGTTTTAACATCTAAGCATTATCATTATCTAAATGAGTGCGTAAACAGCAAAATGTACCTTCTTTCAATTTTTTAGCGGGTGCGCGTAGCATAAAAAAGCAAAATTTGTCGAGGGAAAACCTCGTTTTTCCGGCAGATAGAGAAGAAATATCACTTCGGCATGTATGGAGGAAATGCATCCCCTGAAGTGCTCTACACATAGGAAAAATAATCCAACATAAAAGTTTCTTCGTTTCGGAGATATTTAGAAAAAAGTGGTAAAAAACCCGGTGAATTTTTTACCTAGTGGTTCACAAAAGATCATTTTTGACCAACAAGGAGTGATCTAAAACACTCACAATGTTTTACAAAGTAGTAGGTAATTTCAATAGCTATCATTTGAGCCTAATTTGAGGAAAATCCGTGGAAAATTGGGCGAGATATGAGCACATAAGTGCGGCAAAGTGGGTGAAAATAGGGGAAAATGGAAAATAGGCTCTAAAAGGAAAACTTGAGGGTCTAGGGAAAAAAGGAAGGTACCGTTGAAAAGCTGATGACTCAAGGAATCAGAAAATCCACACCTCAAAAAAAGGGCAGAAAAGTGTTGCACAGTGTTATGAACAAGTTTTGCAAAGTCAAAAAACAGAGAAAATAAATGGAAATAGATTAACCCTGACATAGTCTTTCAGTAAGACGTGTATTTCAACCTTATGCGATTCTTTGTTACATATTTGTAGATAAAGGGATGAAAGTGATCTTGTCTTGCGTGGCAAATTGCGCGGCACACCCTCAAGTCACGTCACTGAACAAGAAAGATCGCCCTCTAATGCGCCCAAGGGCGAGACTATCAGGTACAGGAAGTGCCCCGAAGTGACTTTCTCATCCCGCCAGCTTGTCTGTGCCAAGGACCGAGTGATAAAGGATTCGCCACGGCGGTCGTTTGTCAAGCCCATATCAAAACGAGAGCGCGGCATGGGAAGAGACGAAAATCATCGGCAGAAGTGTTAAATTAGAAACTTCATAGTGCGTCTCAGAAAACTAATTAAGAAATGTCCCTCAAGAAGCAACACATAAACATTTTAATAGCCCATGTAATTGAATATTATCAATTGTATAAATGGGAAAAATCTTTACGAGTCATAATTTTCTCTCTTTTTTGCTCCACCACACAATTTTGTGATAAATATTTTCTTTTCACACTAAAATCTTGCTGCACGTCGAGTGAAAGAGGTTCAGTTGGGTGTTGAATTGCTTTGCGATCGGATGGCAGTTGCGTGAGACTCGACAGTCGATTGGTCGCTGGTGTGTGTCTTTGGAAGTGCAGATGAAATTGCTCCGCAGTGTTTAGTGCTGCCGTTTCCCTCGAATCGCGCCACTTCAATTGCTACCCAATATGCTGAAGCACTTCTTCTCCTCTTTGCAGATAACCGTCAATGAGAACCTGCGAGGGTGGCTGGACGCCTCCAAGGAGACGTCAAATTGGCTGAAGTATGTCAGACACAGTAGTTCGAGTAGCGAGGCTAATTGTCACCAGTATCTAGTATCAGGTCAAGTAAGTGCCGACAAGCCAACTCCCCATCGTCACGGACTAATGTTGCGCCTCTTGCAGTTGTGGTATGAGGTGATTAGAGACATTACACCTGGCAGTGAACTACTTCTGGGGCCCAAAGTTCCTCTCCTCTTTCGCGACATGTGCTCAAATGGACCGAGAGACGACCGCAGTGATAGAGAAAGTGGTGAGCGATGGCTTAAATTTTAGTAATACGTGTGCGCTATTTCTTGGACGTGGCCTCAGTGGCATCTGCTCAGTGCCATGGCTTTGTTGCCACATCCATAACGACCCACAGTGAAATGGCTTCTGGCGAGATAAATCGCAACAATGGTAATGAATACAGTGGCAAAAGGCATCCATATCTCTCTCTGGGATCAATTGAAAAACATATTTGAGTCAATAATATAATCTACGGGGCTTTGTTCTGCCCAATGCTGGAGGGCGGGCGCGAGATTGAATCTCTGGCAGGAGGGATGAAGTTCAGTGTCATTTGTCACAGAATCCTCTCGCTGTGTACTTAATGTTGCCTACATGAGGGATTATAATGATGTTTATTATGTAAGTTTTCAAATTCACACATTCACGAGGGAGATAAAAGAGAGAACATATTATTTGCCATTTCTAATATCTTCCACCACCATCACTTATAGGGGTAATTTTTGCGTCCCTCCGGTGATGATTCAATTTTCGCTCACATTATTTCTGCTCCCTTCGCGTCGTGTCGTGCATTTTCTGTTGCATCCTTTCTGATGGGATTAAGTCGATTTTTTTTTTAATATTCATAACGAACGAGAGATTTATTTTGATACATTTATTACACATGGGAAAGGTAATTATGAGTTGGGATTTCACAGTGCAGCGAATATTGCGCATGACATCATGGACAAGAGAGAATTGTATCGGAAGCCCCGCCCCCGTGAATGCACCGCCCATTTTCAGAGCTCTTCCAAATTTCTCCCTAATCTATCTATTTTATCTATCTCATGAGCTTATTCTAAGGCAAAAGAATTGAATTAAATATCAAAAGTAAAATTGAAAACCGCTGGAGATTGAAATAGTTTATATCTCGGTGAAATCTCAGACCAACGCAACCCCTTTTTGCTTAATTCCAAATTACCATTTATTTTTTAACCCAGGGAGAGAAATAGACATTATTTCAGGGACACGTGTCAATTCGGAATAATTTTCCGGTAGATCCTCTGCGTGGATTTCAATTCAAATATTTGACTTTCCGCGTCTAACCCCATAAGTCGGTGTGAAATTTTTTCTACAGCAAGAGAACGTACATTTTCCAAACAGATAAAATGATTGTCACTGCCGAAAGTGTTAAACCCTGACATTTGGGTTGTCTGCAAGCCACAGCGATCATTTTCACATCCCTCATCATCCCCGCAGGATCGCGTCACTTTTCCCGCTCGATTTATCATCGCGACGGAGGCCAGAAAGGGGCATCACGCCACTATATCAATTGCAGATGAACACGATTTCTGACTGTGAAATTCCATTTGATGTCTCAATAGGGCGACAGAGAGACAATTAGGGGCTCAGGGGTGGATTTTCCATGCACCATTTGCCAATGATGCAATGCTGGGAATTACATGCGCGGAGGGTGAGCTGTTGTCGTCAAGATCGCGTCAGTTATGCCTCTTTGTTGTGCCACTGAGGTGGGATTTAATCCTTTTCCCGCAGAACTGTTCGCTTTTGTGCTATCTGACAGGAAGATCAAAATGTGTGGCCAATTTATTTTGCACAGACGGATTAACTCCAGTTGACTGGAATTGACTTGCTCTCTCACAGCCACACTCGAAGTTATGATTTTGTCAATTTTTGCGTCTCCCGGTCAACATATGCATATGTTGAACTCCATGCGCACGCCTGACATGCCGTTTGACTTGTCCGGAAGAGAATGTCAGCCGAAATCACGCATGAGGGGTGAAAAATCAAATTGCGACCAACGGTCACAAATTACCCCTCGAACAGGTGCAAGAGTCACTCACCGGTGAGGACACAGAAGCCGGGAGATCCTCGCCGAGCCCCTCCCGCCCTGCCAGTCAACTGACAATTGGACTTGTCGCACAGAAGTCTGCATTTACCCCCATCAGTGCCCCGAGGGTTGATCGATGCTTGCGAGCAATCCATGCATGTCTATCACCGTTTGTGACCACTGATTTCGAAAGCCAACCACTCATATTTCCACTCAAATTGGAGCGAAAACACACGCAGAAAGGAAATCCAGCGAGGCTCTCAAGTGGCGTGTCACGCTCTGCATGGAAAAGGGATTCTAATTGCACTTTGACGTGCACTCGAAGGTAAACGGTCACCCTGACCAATGATGACTGAGTTTATTCTTCTCGCGAATATTCAAGCACCTGTTTCACCCCATCCCAGCTCTTTCTCACGTTCCACTTGGCCGCTATTCATATTCCCGAAGACACAGACGCTATGATAATGCGACGGAAGACTTCTGGGGATCACAACTGACACCAGATGGTCGGGTGCGTTATGGGAAAATTGAAAAAGTCAACTCCAATTTCTCCTTTGCACCGCAAGAAAACTGCCACAGACAGCCGTGAGTGTCAAGAATTTTACGAGACATTTCTGTGGAAAACTTTCGTCTAATTAATAGAATTTTCCACAATGTCACAAAAAGACGGACAGTTTTGATGGTTTCTGCAAATTCCCACAGTCACGAGCAACCCTTAAGAATTGACTCTGTGAGAACTTTTCGATGCCATATGGCACCTTGTCTTGTGGATTCTAATTTCTCTCCTTCGCCATCGACACAGTTCGTTGCACACTGTCAAAAACTGTTCGTGGTTTGCCCTTTCGCAGTCTTAAACACACAGACATCAATATATTGCTCTCAGCGAAACTATTCCTACTTTAATTTGCAGACAGGAAAATGTGGGGCAATTTTGATTTTCACAGAATTTTAATCGCCCCCCAGCCAACATCTTAAAGCAACAAGAACTGTAAAAATAGTTTAAAGACGTGAAAGATTTCATCAAAAATGCAAAGGGGGGAGATGATGTGGCTAAACAGTGTACACCACTTTACCGCTTTAAGTATAATAACCTCAAATTTAGGAATCTTGGACTGAAAAAGACGCAATTCTTACTTGTGTGACTCTGAAAACTTACGGAGAAATAGTATTTAATAAATATTTTAAGTTTCCAGCAAATATTTTGATGTGATTTGATTTTCAATCGCTCGTTTATGGAACATAACCTAAAAATTGCCCTGAGATCTCCAAGAGGATCCTAAAGGCAGCATTGAGAATATTAATTTGTGATAAATCGACAATGAGCTAAAATTTGATATTTCAGAGTAGAAAATCAATCAAACATTTCTTTAAAAGACAATTTTGTATCCTGAAACAATATTTTTGAGGTTATGGTCAATCTTAATACTTTTTAATACTGAATGCTTCTAATCTTCATCAGATTCAATTTATTAGTGAATGCAAATTATACCTCAGGCACAAGAATGAATTATATTTGTGGTTATTTAGTATCAAAATGTGACTTAAATTAGTCACATAACCTAGAAAGAAACAAATACTACTGATTTCTACACCACTTCTGACCATAATATCTCCTCCTTGCCAAAATGTTATACTTTAAATTGTTGCTATGCGTCGAAACAATGTTCCTTCACCCATTTCTCACCGTGTTTTCTCTCCCTATCGTGGAAGAGACGTTGGAAATGTGTCTCGAGAGGGATGAAAGTGGTGAAGTCAAGGATGACTTACGCCCTGCGTGTGCGATATGGTTGCAATTCGTGGGAATATTCTCCAGTGGCCGTTGAGATGTGGCGAAGGCGAGCACTTGCCTTCAGGTGAGTGAGATGGACAATCAAAGGAGGGGTTCAATTGCGACTCACCCTCACATTAGCGTGGATTTTTTCGATGCCGTGCTGTATGGTCTTGAAAATGTTCTGGACACAAGCATGTGTGTATTCTAATCACACACTCGATAGTGGGGGTTGATTATGCCGCCAGGTATTCTCCCTACACCTCAATTGACCGACGATAGCGATGAGGTCGTGCACAAGGACTCGTCGCGATGTTGGAAATTTATTGAAAACAATTCGTGGATGATTCCCGACGTGTGAACAGCTTTCGTTTGTTGTCTCTAGTGAAAATTCTTGCGAGGTAAAGTCATCAAGAGGCCACTGCAATTGCTCAAGATTGAAATTGTAGTGTTGCAAAGAATGTGTTGAGAGGTTCAATGAGTTCGGGTGCACTTCTCTAAATTAATATCCGACAAACGGTGCGCGGTGTTGGTGAAAAAAGGGATAAAATGGTGCATTTTGAGATCAGACAAATAGCGAATAACAACAATAATTAGTGGAAGTTCTGTCGCCGTGAGGCTGGTAAAATTAATTACCCCGGGTTCAATGTAATAAATCTCAAAATTCATTACGAGAGCGTCTAATGCCTTTATCACTTTGCAATTTGTTGCAAGAAACTCAACAGCAATCATCAGTCAAAAGTAGCGTGCTGCCAGTCTTAAGTCTCCTCCACTTCATTTCTCCGTATCCACGCCGCTGAAATTGCAATCACGCCCGAGAGATTTAATCTCAGACTAAATGAAAATTCATCAATTAATCCTTTTCTTCGCCGCCGACCGTTCGGAGCAACTTTTCGAGATCATTAGGAATGTAAATTTTGCTCAATGTAGTAAGACGTTTTCGTCACAATTTTCCTTTTTATATATCCACACTCTACATTTTCCATTCCAAAATATCATTCCAAATTGACCAGAGTGCGATTCAAATTAATATTCACCTGCGCGTTTCCAAGATCACCACATAAAACCATACTAATCAAATCACACCTTCTCAGATGTTCTCTTTGCGATATTTTTTTCCCCGCAGATCCCATTGAAGAATTATGTTGGTGGCGATTGGAGTTGTTTCTCAATTTTGTACTTCTTTTCTTCTTGCCTTTGCACGCCCGACTGGATTATCTTTCAGTCTATTTGATGTGATTTGGAGATTTCAACGCAACACTCCTCTCTATTTTGCCACAAAGTTGTACGAGCAACTTTTTGGTCACACTTAACTCTGAATGTTTTTCATTGCATTGCAGTAAAATCACGCAAACTCACTCGAAAAAAGGGGGTCTTTAGAAATATTTAATTGGAAATGTGGTTCAAGAGAAGTTTCTCGTATAATAATCATTTCGAGAGCTTTTTCCACAGAAGCTCGATACGAAGCGACGATACTTGCCCTTTTCCTGCTCTCTTGAGTGGGTTTTTTTTTCTTCTTCTTGTTGCATAGCAAATGATCGTGACATTGCTGCCCACAATTTGAGCAATAAAGCACGCGTCCATCAAATGAAATTTGCGCTGGAATAAAAAGCTCTATCTTCAAATTATCCATGCACAAGGCGATAGCATCAGTGTCCATATAAATTTCCACGGTGTGATATTTATACACGCTGAAACTCTTCCCGCGGGCAAACGAGTGTTAATTGTTGTGAAATATTCTGTAATTGTAAAAGACATATTAACAATTGTACGCGCTTCGGCGCGCGCGCGAATACACTTGCGCAAGAAATGTGTAATTAGGTTGAAAATATATTGCCCACTCTGGGGCTGATAGAGAAGAGATTATGAGACATTTGCTGGGTGGGGTTTTCGCCTCCTTCTGACCACCGTGTGTTCTCAACATCAGCGACCGGAGGTGGAAGGAAATATTGCAAGTCGTGAGAGAGGCGAAGAGAAAAAAGAATTGACAAAGAAATAATATATAAATTTTCTTGACAAATAATAAATTTATCACTAACGAACTTTATTTCACCGTGAAATTCCTTTTATCGCGGGTCGAAAATTAATTGCAGATATACAGATTTATGAAGAAGAAATTCTCACTATGGACTTTTATTAATGTGTGATTGAAGGTTCTCAGCACAGTGGAACGGGAGAAGAGGATTTCATCACTTCATCGAACGATTTGGACAACATCAAAGCGGAATCGGGCGGCCAACCGGATCCAGAGAGTGACGACGAGGACGGCATCGACTGCAAATGCGTTGTATGTGATCGACAATGTCAAGATATTGACCAGTGAGTGTGTACAATGGCTTAACAAGCTATTAATAATTGTCATTCTGATATATCAGGCTTCAATGAATGCGCACACACGCGGCATTTACAATTTATCCACTGCAAATATTGGAGTCCTCTGGAAGTAAACATCATATTTCAACACCGCGAACCACAATATATCGAAAAATTGAATATCAGTCCCGTTGAGCAAAGGGCGCCCATTAGTGGGGAGAGATGGTCAACATGAGATAACCAACCCGACAGACACTCTCACGCATTTCCCATTAGGAAGTAAGAAAAGCCACCCAGAACATTAAACTCTCCTCTTTCCCGATTAATGGCAATTATCCATTAAAAGAGCGGCAATTTGCTGAGAGAATTTCAAATGAACGATTGTCGGTGGGCTTAAAGTGTTGATTATACGTCGTGACAATCACCTCGGCTGTCACCCACTTAATTCGGTAGTCACCCTCCGTAATTAGTTTGTATTTCGACAAGTAATTAGCTCTCTTTAGCGTCTCTCCTTTTGGCCCCATTATATGAGATACGCACTCAATAGATCTCACGATTTCATAATGAAAGTCTCGCGAAAGATTGTATGTTATTTTCATGTCAAATTTATGATAGTGTTCAGCCAGTTTTTTTTTTCTAGAGAATAAAATAAAGAACTTATCATAATCAAAATGGGAGCGACATCACTTATGAACAATGTGATAAAATTCAATTCAGCAGAATGAAATATTCTTTTGATTCTGAGAAATTCTCCTATTTTTAGACTCCATGAATTCTATGTTTCTATAACGAATTTTCTGAAATTTTTTTTAATAACCTAAAAAATTCTGCTAATGCCAAGCAATGTTTTCTTCTTTACCTCCTTAAAAATCTTCACTCTCAAACCACATGCAAGAGTGAGATTTGTAATTTATTTTGAATATAAAACAATATGTCTTTTGGGTGGAAATTAAAAATCACTCCTGCATAATGAGAAACGCGGATTTCTCCTTAATGAACAATCAAAAACCTTCACATGCAGTGTGATATCGTGAGGAAAATTAATAATGGCTTGAGGTGAAAAAGTGCTCGCCACTGCATCAGAAAATCAGATGCACGCAAATATGAGGAGAATTCATGGCTCACGAAAAAAAACGCACCCTCATCATCCCTCTGCGAGACCCTTCGTGATTTCAATTGTCGCAGGGCCGGCGGGAATAGTTGCGGTGTTATTGAATTAGATGGCATGCTTTGGGTGGAAATTGTCTGCCCCTTCTGTGTCAACAATCAGTGCTGTTGAATGGCGATGAGGTGGAGAAACTGTGTGAATAATTAATGGGATTTTGCCAATTATTGCCTCCAATAGTAATTAGTCGGGGTGATTTTTCTTGTTCATTAATCCCATCATTTTCCAACCAGTTCAGCGATTCACGCTGTCGCTGAAATCGATAATTGTCGTGACACACAATTGTCGTGAAGTGCCTTTGTCGCCCGCGACAAAGGGAAGAGTCGCGAATGGAAGCCACCCACCTTTTGGCTATGTTAAAATGTCACACTGGCACAATGCAAATTGATAGATCTTTTATGTGGCGAAAGAAGCACTGCCAGCGTCCAGACAGTGCGGGTGTTTTATGAGTTTTCAAATATGTCTTTTGAATTGCATATCGACATTTGCATGAGTCATGTCTCATTTTGATGAGTTTAATGTCGAGAGTGCATAAAGTTCACATTGCGAGGCGTTCGGAGTGCTTTTTGTGGGAGAATAAATCAAATTTGAGCATAAATTGTTTGTCACACAGCATAATAACAATGGAATTGAAGTTATTCGCCCAGAGAGAGGGTGTTGTACCATTTATTACCACATCAAAATATTCCATTTGCACTCCTTCTCGAAGACTTCTTCACTGGGCAAAACACACTCATTACGTTTTGTGCACTCCTAATCGAAATCAATCAAATTCCTCAACATGCCAGGATGAGGAATTTCTTGCAATTTGATTTGGATTCAGGCAAACACATCACGATTAAATTTCCCACTCCAGAAGCCAAATGGCTGAAGCCACGTGAGAATTGGACACATGGAAGACATTATTTCCTATGTGACACCTTGCTACATCAGGGCGATGTATAATTAATGATTTAGGAATATGAAAATGTCACTGTCCCTGTTCTGGCTGCACACACGAGCAACATTTAATGCTATGTGTGAGCACAAACAGATTTCATATTACAACTTTGATGCTTTCGTCTTGATGTTTTGTCGCGATAAAGTCAGGAATGAATGTAAAAGTTGACACCTACAGCAATTTTTTCTACACCCTCGCGCACAGAACTCGCTGTGTATAGAAAGCGAATTGATGCCGATAAGTAATTAGAGACGAACTCTTTTCTGTGGACACTTCAGGCACTGGGATGAGTCGTGACAAATTAAATAATAAATCTCACATTTTGTTGGGTGTCTAACATGAATTTAGGGGTGACTGCCATTTGCCCAAAGTCCTCCAACTCACAAGAGGCCTACAATTGTCGCCTGACACACCTGATATTCAGCTTGACAATAATGATACTTCCCATTGTTCGATTTTTTCACGATAATACTGACCTCTTGTTCATTTCAGGCTCGATGAGCACTTAATAATATCGCATCACTATCCGAGAGACGCCTTTCGCTGCGAATCCTGCGCAAAGACTTACAGTTACAGGCCATCGTTGCTCAGGCACAGAGCTTTAGTCCATGGCGAATTGAGGAAATATCCCTGCGAGAATTGTACAAAGGTACTTCCCTATGTAAGACTCTCATTTGAACTTATAGACTTAATGCCATCTCTATTCAATTTGATTCAATTTAAATGTGATTCTTAGGGAAAATGTAATGTAGATTTGATATTTACTTCATATTGTCATCAAATGGAAGGATTCACTCGATATATTTATTCTAAATTTTTCTCAATTGACGCTCAACTGCGTTGTTAAGTCATGAAATCTCTTAAAATAAGGTTTTAATCTAGAAGAATCTGACGACGAACAGTGTTCTTTTTTTTCTTCGAAAAAACAGTCGATTTGATTTATTTAAATTCAACTTTTATGTCTTTCACTTCCATGAAGTCCAAAATCGAAGCGTGTAAAAAGCGCGATTGATATCTGAGATAATTTAATCTATAAATTCACTTCACTTCTGTCTTAGCGCAAACGCTTCTATTCATTGCATGTGTCAATTCTGGGCAAAAAAATGCAGTTTGTCTGAGAAATGGAAAGGACTGGCTCGCGATCATTCATTTTGCTCTTCGCGCCAAAGCGTGTAGGCTGCAATAGAAAAATATATCTTTTAATTTCTCCTTTAACTCAATTAGTGACAGATAAATCGATTGAATGCGTGATCATTTATTTTAATTATTAAATGTTGGAAAGACCGTTGATAAATGTCTTTTATTGCCTTCAAGTTTTATAGCGACATTATGGGCGCCTCTCTTTTTGTATGGCATAATGTCGAAAGAATTCTTTTACTATGCCTGATAAATTGCGTAATAGCGCGCGTACACGTGAAGCCAGAAAGCGAGGAAGCGATTTTGGGGGCCTCCTCGAGATTTCATTTCATCGTCAGCCGCAAAGCTATTCGGACAATATCAATTACTGACCTTACAGACTACATGCTGACTCAATAACCCCATGAGGCAAAATGTGTGGCGCGGAGCATCGGATTTGAGGAGAGGCCGCATTACGCATAAATTCCTCGATCACACGTTTTATTGCCGTTCAATTTATAACACATTCACTTACCCCTTGACCTCCCAATGGGCACAAGACACAATCCATTTTGGATATGACGTGCCGTCGCCGGAGTTCTTTTTGCCCCAAATCACACGATTCTCCTCATCAAGTGTAATTAATTCTGCGCGATAAGCATTTAGGCGTGTCAATTTCTCAAAAAATTAATGCTCCACTGGCGCGAAGGTCCTTTGATAATCCCCATCGAAAAACACCATTCAGCGAAAATACTTTCTTCAGACTCTGCGCGATCGAGAGATAAAATAGGATTGATTGATTTATTGGGCATAAAAATGGCGCAGAAAGACAAGTGAAAAGGCACAATTTCTGCGAGGAATAAGTGATGCAGAAGTAGAGAGGCAGCGAAATATAATACAAAAATGACAATTTCATACACAGAAGTTCATTCTATAATATAAATATGCCAATCATTGATGGTATCTTGTTCATATTTGTAAGAGAGTCTCTATATGAATCACTTTCGAAATCACCCAATAATTGGTCTCATTGAGAAGAGTAAATAGAACGCAAGAGCAAAATGCAAAATCAATGAAAGTACATTGCTAAAATACTCGCCCGAAATGAGTCAATTTATATGAGAGATATCATCATCATCATCAATGGAATTAGTGGTAGACATGAGAGAAGTCGATGGCAAAATAAATTTCCTTGACTCATTTGTTGTGTCTCATGTTTTCCCTTTCATTTTGGTCCATTTGCAACGCCCCAAAAAGTTGAGAAAAAAAAGAGAATCTAGATCATTGCGAAATTTTCACAATAAATAGACATTTTCGCTCTTGTTCTTCTTGGATAATTCCGTCCAGTGAATTGATCTGAACACCCAAGGAAAAAAAAATCATCCATTCAAACGAACCTTAGAGAGAAAATCTACCCAAAAGAGCCTGAATGGCGGGCAAAAAGTTAAGTGAACAAAATCGCATTGCATCGCGATTCGGCTAATTTTTAATTAAACGATTTATAATTAAAATAGATCATGGTAGATAGTGGCCAGCTGGAGAGGATGGAAATTGTTACATGATGAACTGCACAGTAGTGAATGTCGGTGGGCGATTAGAGATCGCATTATTTATAAAATAGCATACGCCCGACGTGGATTTCCAAAGCCACGCTATGGCTAACTCTATTAGGGCTTTTAATTGGGCACCAAAGACTTTGATTGACTGTCTACCAATTAGCAATACCACAGCGCAACGCCAGTAAAAAGCTTTTTACTATGAGAGACAGATAGATCTTTGGCTGCTTTGAGGGTAAAAAAGTGTGCGTCGAGCTGACCCAACTTTGCATAGTTGGAAAATGCTTTGTTGTTTCCGTAGAAAATCAGCCATGATCCTAATAATCTTCCACAATACTTTTTTGTGGTCCAGAGCTGTGCTTAGCAATTGTTATGGAGGAAATGTTTCCAAATACTGAGCGGCGCATTGCATCATTCAATAAAACCATCTCGAATCATAGCAAATTGGGTTTAATAACAATTGTGAAAGGCCCAAAAGAAGTTCTTAGACATCTTTCCTGAAATGTAGTAGAAGGACTTGTCTGTGACACTGAGAGAAATTTCTAATAGCATTTTACTTTCAGTGAATTTCCACATGAATTCTACTCGCATTCTAACAATCTTGTTTCATGTTCACGTTCTTATGGCTTCTCAGATAAATGTGAAAAGTTTCTTCTTTGTGAACATCTAATTATTTTCTCTGTAATTTGTATCTTAATTTACCTGTGAAGTGTTACACAATCTAACTTTTCTCCTGTCTTGCAGGTCTTCACAGATCCGTCGAATCTTCAGCGACACATTCGCGCTCACCACGTGGGCGCCAGGAGTCACGCGTGTCCAGAGTGCGGCAAGACATTTGCCACGTCCTCTGGTCTGAAGCAGCACACGCACATTCACTCCTCGGTGAAGCCCTTCCAATGCGAGGTGTGTTTCAAAGCCTACACCCAGTTCTCGAATCTCTGCCGTCACAAGCGCATGCACGCCGACTGTCGCATGCAGATCAAGTGCACCAAGTGCGGCCAGAGCTTCAGCACAGTGACGTCGCTATCCAAGCACAAGAGATTCTGTGATTCCACGAGCGTCGCCCCGGCGCACCACCAGTCACAGCAGCAGCAGTCGGGGTCCAACTTGAATCAGGCAGGCGTGCAGGCCGCCACTATGACGACACCGCCGAACCCCTTCCTCATGTTCCGCGGCCCGTCGCCCTTCTTTCCGCCCACGTTCTCGCCCTATCCCAGCTTGCCGGGCATGTTCCCGCCCAGTCCGGCCCAGGCGCCGCCGTTCCCGCTCATCTTTCCCAAGCCCAGCATCGATCTGAGCGGGATGCAGGACAACGAGCGACACACGCCGCCGAGGCAGTTGAACCACCATCACTCCCTGAAGGTGTCTCCGTCTGCGGCAGAGGAGGCGTCCAATCATCTGCATCCCTCACCTGCCCGTCCCGTTCCAATATCGCTTCTGCAGCACTCCAAGTTGGCTGCCAAAGGCCATCGGGCCAGCAGCTCAGAGGAGGACACAAAGTCTCCCACTCTGCACGACTTCTCGCTGAAAAATCTCGGAAAGAGACGCCGCGAGCGATCAATGAGCCCGACAGAGAAGAAGGCAATGAAGGACGAGATCGATGTTGTCAAGACGCCAAGGCAATCTTCTGACCGAGAGGATTCGCTAGAGCGCGAAGATTGCGAGGATTCAAGAAAGTCCACGCCACCACTGGATGGCGGAATCTTCCGCGCTCAGTCGCACACTCCGAGGCGGCAAGAGACCTGCAATGGCCAGGCCGCAGATTTGCAGCCCTTGGATTTGACGGTGACGCGTCGAAAGCGCAGTCGCAGCGCCTCACCGCTGCCGGCTGAGGTGAAGAAGCACCGCGACTCGACTCCGCCGTCTTTCCAGGCCAGTCCGTCGCCGTCCGTGTCGCCCGGACCCACGCCGTCGCCATCGCCGCCAGGCCCGCCCATGGCCTATCCCCGGCCGATACACCCAATGTTGTTAGAAGCAATATACAGACCATCCGGATTAGGTGCCTTTCAACGACCTTTTCCTTTTTTAGGACCAATTGGCCGTCCTGGCTTCGATTTGCTTAGTCGCAGCGCCGGCTCTTTCCCGCCGAAGCCCTTCCACGAGGCCCTCATGGCGGCCGGCGGCCTCACGGCGGGCCTGGGCGGCGCCAATGGTGGCCTGATAGGCGGCAGTGGCGGCGGCGGCAACACAAAGAACAAGGACCGCTACGCCTGCAAGTTCTGCGGCAAGGTCTTCCCGCGATCCGCCAACCTCACGCGCCACCTGCGCACGCACACCGGCGAGCAGCCGTACAAGTGCAAGTACTGCGAGCGGTCGTTCAGCATATCCAGCAATCTGCAGCGGCACGTCCGCAACATCCACAACAAGGAGCGGCCCTTCAAGTGTCACCTGTGCGAGCGGTGTTTCGGCCAGCAGACTAACCTGGACCGCCACCTGAAGAAGCACGAGGTGGACTCGGGCGGAATGGGATTTAGCATGGGAGACTCGCCGTCGTCGAACGAGGCGGATCGCGAGGACGCGTGCTTCGACGAAATACGCTCCTTCATGGGCAAGGTGACCTACTCGGGCGCCCAGGCGCACCTCTACGGCCCACTGGGCGTGACCACGAGCATCGAGGCCACCGCCGAGGCGGACGAGGCGAGTGATCTCGAGAGTGACATCAACATTGAGCACTCCGACTCGAAGAAGTCCATCAACAACAACGAAACCATCGAAGTGTCCACTTAGGCTTTGAACTTAACCTTCTGAAATTCCTCAAAACACCCTAAAATCCCACTTCTGTACATAACGGATATCGTCATTCTACTGCAATTTGCAAGGAAGAAATATCACAAAATGTCACTATTTAGGCAACAATTTCAAAACTAGGCAAAACATAAGCAAATCCCAAAACAGTCTCTAAGCAAAAACTAATGGATTCTTGGAGTAATAGTTTTAATAATTAGCTTGTAACTTATGACAATTTTAAGAACATCCACGCTTTTTGAAGATAGCGATCATACTGCAACTTTAATGGTGTAAAGGACTTATATAAGGATCGTTCTTGCCACACTTAAAACACGACGGTCTTTTTTCACACTACCTAGTGATATTTTTTTTCTTAATTCAAAACCAAAAAAAATAAATAATTCAATGTTTAGGAAATTTTCTAAAAAAAAGCAACAATCACTAAATGGGTTGACATATAAATATGTAAAATTGTTTTCTTAGACTAGAAACACTTTGAAATCACCAATGTAAGATTTTATTTAATTTTTATTTATATTTATTCAATTATAGTAACACTGTAAGAAATTTCTTGAGCGCACTTCTCATTCTAATCACCGCGAGATAAGAAATAAAATATATAAATGAATGGTTTGAATAGGATATATAATTTTTTCGATGCCTTCAGCATGAGAGAATGAATTTTCACGAAACTTTTAAGCGCTATAAGCATCTCTTTAAGATTATCTCAAATTGACTACCAATGTGACATATACATTATGAAAGCCACGAAAACAGCACATTACTTGATTGTCGGGTTCTAACATATTTAATAAAGAGAATAACATGAGAAAATAGAGTAAGTTTTAATGAAGGACGTTAGATGAAAATGTTATTTTATAGATATTGAAATGGTACATCAACAATTTTGAATTCACAAATAAATTACAAGAAATCAATCTGAAAAGAGTAAAGGCGAGATGTCTTTTAATCGCGGTGCTCATGGGAATCACAAATCCCCCAAGTGGCAGAAGCCTTGGCGCTGAACTGACTTAATTTACGCAGAAAGAAGGCATGAGAGATGCTGAATATGTACAAAATTATTTGACTCTTTTTCCACCAACAACAATTACTATAATTGCATTTATTGCATGTGCTTCTTCACCAAATCGGCGATACTTTCATAATCTTTTCACTTTCATGAAATTGGCATAAAGTGAATCAGAGAAGAATTGAAGAGTGAGAGAGAGCCAATTTTATGTATATTATCCACTTGATGATTATTATTTTGGTGTCTCTGCAAATGACATTCAAGAGCGAGCGGTCGCGACACGGAAAGTAAGAGGATGTTGGGCTGTGTTAAATGGTGCGATAAAGGAGAAGAGGTTAATAAGACAAAAAAAAACGTCTTTTACAGACCATCTCGAGTCTCTCCCATACAAAATAGCTCTGAACGTATTCAAATTGATGACCTTTCGTCAATCTTGTACGACAGAAAATTAATTTTATTACCAGAAATAATAATAAAAATTAAATATAGAGCGACGCCCAAATTTGCATACACGACCGCGAAGGCATCAATTGAGCATGGCGTGTGTGTGCATGGAAACATAGAGGAGAAAGATGGAGCGGAATGGGAAAAAGACAAAAGAGAATAAACACCGTAATTGCATTATAATTACGATGTGGACTAAATATGAACTGAGGATGAAAGCACTGGCCAAAAGAAAATAGAATCCATCTTCATCTTGTAGACTTTCCTCGCCAAGTCAATTTACCTGCCAAAGTCGTGAGATGGCAAACACCTCACCAATTAATGTCACAATGAAATGTTACAACTCATTTATTACTTGTACAGGTGCACTCGCATGGGCCTCAACTCCCTGCCATCGCGAGAGGAGATCATTTTTTATAGGGTCGCCGCTTAAGCGCTTCTTGGCCACTTTTTTCCGCGCCTCTCCCAGCATCTCCGGCTCGAAAGTGCTCGCCTTTTCGGGGTCTCTCTCCTCAATTTTATTGCACCTTAGAAACTGCTGAAGAGAAATGATGAATTCCACGCTCCTCTGCCGCCCCTCGCGCGGCCCAACACATCATCGCCACATTAAGTGGTGGGAAATGATTAATAACGGCGAAGAAAGAGAGTGAAAATTTTTGCGCCTAATTCCATCGGTGACAACAGATAAATTTTGCGTGACACGAGCACAGGGCGAAGGAAGAGTGTGACTTGGTGAAAAGTACTTTCATGTTTTGGTGCAAAAAATAAATTTATAGAAAATATTGTTGGGAAAGAATCTGGCGACATATGCATTATGTCGCCATGTTCAACATTTGTGTCGCTCAATTAACTGTCCAATTTTACTTTCAGCCCAGAAATGCGCGTGAGAAATTGTGACTTTTCACAAAAATGCATTTCAACATCGTTTATCCAATTGTTCAAATAAATTTCTAAGTTTTCTTGGCTCGCTTATCAATGCAAATCAAAGGAAAAGTCATGAATTGATTTTTGAGGAATTTTTTAGTAAAAAATAAGGAAAAAACTAGAATTTTTTCCAGTCAAAATTCCAAAAAAATGAATATTTTCTGAATATATAAATTTATTTAAATATTTTCTGAATATTTAATTAATTGCAATTTTCACAATGGGCTATTTAGTGGGGTTAAAACATCTTTGAATAATCTATAAACTACTATATTTCCCGGCCAAACTTGTCTCTGTGTCTCAATCGGAACTTCTACATGCCTTTAAAGTTTAAACTGCTGTCCTCTGACGGCAATATGTGGAGAAAATAATTAAATAAAATTTTTTTTCAATTAAACAGTCAGAAAATAATAAAACAATTCAAAGAATAATAAAATATTTGAATATTTTGTTGCACAATAAAAAAAATGATTGGAATTTTTATAGAGAAATCAAGAAAAAAAAACATTATAAAAACTATAACAATCGCATAATACAGAAAGCAGCACAAGAGCGTCAATTTGATTATGGCTTCAATACTGAAACGCTTACAATATCTGTTTTCCTCCCAAAACCGGGCATCAATTGTTCAAGTTCACTTGCAAGTTTCCTTTGGCGCATCGCGGACAACGCCGCTTCGCGATGTTCATTAACAATTTGGACAATGATATGGCGAAGATACTGAAAGGAAAAGAGAGAAAAATGGTGTGAACCTTCCTTCTGGGATTATTGACGTGAAAATATTCACCTTGAGCGCGACTCGAGAGGGATTGAAAGTTGCCTACGATGGTAATCCGGATGAGACACATCGGTTTCTGGCGGCCTGCCATGGAAACGATGACCTTTTGATTAGGACACCGAGGCGCGCACACCCGGCTTAAGCGTCAAATTACACAAATTCCATCAGTGGGAGGAGATGGCAGAAAAGTTGGATTATTCCACGTTCGAAGATGCCTTGTTGTGCGCGGTGTCAAGAAGATGCTGGAGGAAGATACTTTAATATTTCATCTGTGATGCCTTCCACGCAAGCTATGTGCGAGTGATCACAAATTGGCTCTCAGACTTGCTACCGAGATCTAATGACATCTTGATGGATTATGTTACTCCGCGCTGAATGTCAGTCGAATCCCCAATGCGAGCTCCAAAGCTGGAGTCGCGCACTAATATGAATAATGTCTCTCGCGTGGTGAAGGAGGCACGAAATGAAGGCACACACACAAAAAAAACAGACCATCTGAAGCCGTGGAGAAGAAATAAAAATTTCGCCTCCAAATAGCGAACCAGTTTTCCCGGGTCTTCGCGTTGTCAAACTAGGTCTTCCGCAACAGCACGGCAAAAAGACGCGCTCTCCCACTTGATTTTGCGACGATTCTCGGCGGGTTTTTTAGCACCGTGACAACATCTTCATGGTTGTCCTCTCCTTAAACTGTAGCGTGGATGAACCCGTTGCTGGTGCTTTGAAATTTTAAAACCTCACTCCGAATCGGTTCACCTCGATATTAAATGTCATTATAAGAACTTGAAAATCAGCTTCGATTTCATTTAACTTCTGCAGACACCCAAGCAATGTACAAAAAGCCACCGAAAGTAAAAGTCCACGAGAACTCAAAAATCATCGCGGAAAGGAATTTTACCTCTTAATTAGCTCTAGAATCACATAATCTGTGCATGCGCCTGAAAAATGTGTCCAATCAGACCTTATTCCACGTGAAAAAGTCCCAACACTCACGTCTTAGACCTTCTCATCTCTGCTCCTCGAGCACGTATTGCCTCAATACGCCCAGACAATCAATTTTCTTTCACTCAACTACCGCGTAGTCTTCAGAAAAGTGCGCGGTGCGTCGCATTTCATTCATCCTGGGCGCAAAGAATGCCCAACAATATGAGATATCTCACATATTCTCGTTTATTTACTCTTTAAATAAAACAATTAACTCCAGTATTCGTTAACAATTTATAATTTCATGTGATCGCATTCCGCTCACAAGGTACAAAATTAATTTAATTACTATAATAAGGCTTTGCCACAAAAAACCACTGAAATTTGCCGTGTTTTCCTGTCAAGATGAAACGACGATGAAAAAGTATACCCCAATTATTGTGGAGAAAAATGAAGAGTGGTGATGTAATGAGATAAATTCGGCATTCTTCAGAGAATATTTAGGGTCAATTTGTAAAGTCGCATGAATAAAATTATTGTAATTTTTTCACCATAGGCAGAGATTTTCTCTCGCACAACTTTGGGTGGAGCTGAGAGAAATCCATCGGGAAGGAAATTCAGTCTTATTTCTAAAGAATAGACCACAATAAACTATATGTTTTCACCATTTGGCGAGCGATGTGAGGTATAGAAAGACACACGAATTTGGGTAAAACGGATGAGAATCGTGTCATTGTGGATTGAGAAGTTGCGAAGAAGACATTTAATATCCCCTCGATGCGGCGCCTTCTGAATCTTGGGGTCCAATATAGAGATATAAGAGAACATTTTGTGGTGCTTTCTTGTAATTTCCCGAGGTGAAAGACCATCATGAAATCAATTAGTGGCTGTCCGCGATGGCACTCTGAGGACTCTTGGGGTGCCTCTTTATGCATATCTGGGCGAAAAGAGGCCCGCGAAAAAGCACACGATGAAAAGAGCATGAGGATGATTTATGTGAGTGATAAGAGCACGTAATAAATTTTAAATATTTTGTTAACAGCTGTGGGATACAAATTTTATGGAGTGTGATCACTGAGATTGGAACATGGCAGAATCACATTCACTCTTGTCCTACTCAACGTTCGACTTCTTTGATGCACACTGGAAAAACAATGTTTCCTCGAGGGGCCAAAGAATGTACCGAGAGATAAAATTATATGCTGAATAAATCACAAGCGGAACTGCTTAATTTTACAAGTGGAGGACAATGAAGAAGAGATCCACCATAAAGATATCGGGCCCAAAGTGTGTTAGCAATTTGGCAAACTTCTGGGCCTCGCATATTAATTTTTTTTAAGTCAACACTTGGACGGTGCGCTTTATTATATCCTAGAGATATTTGCAGTGAAAAAAAAATTGAATTGTCCGAAATATCCTGATATGAAGCACTTATCGCACTGAAATAAATAAATCGATGGTGCAAAAGTGAAAATACCGCGTGTTTGCACTACCTTTCTTCGGTACTTCATAACTCTTCATTTTATTGATACTCATGCGATAATTGACGCCCAATTCAGTGGCGAAGTTCACCCGCAGTATCACAGAATAATTGATGACATTCCATTAATCACGGGATTTCTGCGCGAGTCGTCGAGAAATCACAGCATTTGTAATTATTCAAGCATGAAAATGAACTCGAAAAAAATTCTACACGAAATAAATCGCAGAGAAAAGTTTATTTGGAGTGATGAAAAGCGGCAAATGGAGTGAAATACTGGGAATAGTCTTGGGAAAATGGTTCTAATTACGTGGTGATCTAAACTAATGTTCGCTACTGTAGTTACGTCATCAAAAACAAAAGGATCCA